CCTATTTATAGAATATAGGCAGCCCTTAGACTTGACAGCACAATGACACTTGTCATCTACAACTTTTGCCACTTGTCGGGCTGAGTTTAAATCTGTTCCTAACATGTAGCTGACATCCCCAACTACTTAGGACACAATATACACGAAATGGATAATGGTACAAGCATGATCTGATCATGGGACAAAGAGGTTATGACAAGGTAACCGCCAAAACTGCTTTTCATGTGCATTGCATGTGTCATCTTCACTTGGCCAGCTGAATTTCGCCCAAGGCTTGCTTTGTGCCAAGCCTTAGCTCAATTTGACATTGCTCCGCGCCAATGTCTTGCCCGCAACCCGCTGCCATGATTTTCCCGCACACGCCCGGCGCCGCTGCCGCCGCGCACTGCCTTGGCCTAGTTTTCTACCTTGTCCATGTCAACCTTCATTTCCCTCGTGCCATTGCTTGTATTTTTCTTCACATAGCCTTGCCTTAGCTATTGAAAGCCTTTGCCATCATCTTGTCTTCCCGCTTTGCCTTAGCTTAGCCCGCACATAGCTGCCACAACCCAAAAGTGCCATGTCTCCGACTTTGGCGCGCATGCCGTGCCATGCCGCCCTAACATTGCCCATGCTGCCTCATCAAGCCTTTGCCAAGCGCGCCTTGCCTGTCCCAAGGCCTTGGCCAATACTTGCCCACAACAGCCCTCAATGCCAATGTCATGTCCGTCGCCCACATGATCGTTTTACCCGCACCTAGGCCATTGACAAGGCCATCACGCCCAAATCCTTGCCACGCCTGATGACAAAGAGTTAGGGTCTAACAAACCACCCGCACCCTTGTTACAATCGACGTCCTCGTCGAGCCAACTCAGTTAATCAACCCCAAGGGGTTGTTGAAAAACAACGCCCCGGGTGCTCCATTCACATCTGCCACTATGGCATTTGCCTCCGCCACTTGTTCCTGTTTTTTCGCAGCTAGCATTGCGTTCACCCTAGCCTGCACCGGACAGTCCTTCTTCAAGTGCGGTCCACCACAAGTAAAGCAGCCTTTGAATTTGACGCTCCTTTCCTTGACATTGTGAATTTCCTGTCTCACAATCTTAACAAGTCCCTCATTTTCAACAGCTTGGCCCTTCCCGTTTTTCTTCCATTCCTTTGCTTTGTCTTTCCGGTCAGACTTTGAATGCGAAGTTTCAGCAGGTTCATCACCTATGTTTAGGTCCACCAACGCATCTGCCGCTGCAATGGCAGCTTTGAACATTCTGCCTTCTCAACTCCAATTGCCCCCAGCCCTTCAAACCACTCATGAAGTAATGCAGCTTGTCTTCCTCTGCCATATTACTTACATTCAGCATCAAGGACGAAAATTCCTTGACATACTCCCTCACCGTGCCACTTTGTTTTAAGCGACGCAGTCCATCTCGTGCAACCCACGACGAGTTAGTTGGAAGGAATTGGGATTTTAATTCCTTCTTCAGCATCTCCCAAGTTTCAATCTTGGGCAGTCCAGCACTTTCCCCATCCGCAACTCGTGTACGCCACCACACCTTTGCATCATCAGTCAAATACATTGGTGTGATCACCACCTTTTCATCATCCGGCACACGAGCAGCTTGGAAATACTGCTCCATATCCCACAAGAAATTTTCCAATTCTTTGGCACTTCTAGCACCACCATAAGCCTTTGGCTCCGGAATCCTCAACTTAGTGCGTTCATCACTTCTAGGGGCAGAATTTTGCAATGCCCTTCGAAGTTCAGCCACTTCCTCACGTAGTTCTTCTTTCTCTTGGCGTACCAAGGCCATTTCTGCCAGCGTAGTCTCATGTCTCGCTGCATAGTCTGCCTCCAAACGTGCCATTCTAGCAAGAACAGAAGAATCGCCACCAACTTCAAGAGCCTGCCCAACCAGTGCTTCCAACTGCTCAACCCTTTGACGCAGTTCAGCATTTGTGCCACCAGCCATGTTCTCAAATAGCACCACGAAATCTGCCACCGGTCGTCTTGCCACTGCCACGAACCTGCTCCGCTCTGATACCAATTGTCACGGGGGCATTTTTGGTCAGCCCAAAGTCACACCCGCGCGGCAGTCAAGTTCCGCACTTGACTCAGCCTTCCTTAACACTTAGCCAATTTTCAGCAAGTTTGGCTTAAACGAAATTTAGGCAACAATCAGAAATTTAAGAACACAAAGCAACTACGGGAAAATTCCCAACCTTTGCATTAATTTAGAAAATATACAAAGGACCCTCACTTGCTATGAACACAGTCCGCTCACAGCCCACTTTTGGCAAGAACACAAGTCGTTCTTGGCCAACACTAAGACCTGCCCAAGCCTAGCCTTAGTCCCCTTTGAAACACTTTGAAACCCTCATGTTTCACTCTTGTTTCCCACTAATAATTTCACACGAAATTACCCACATAAATCTGACCAAGTCCCAAAGGCCCTATTTATAGAATATAGGCAGCCCTTAGACTTGACAGCACAATGACACTTGTCGTCTACAGCTTTTGCCACTTGTCGGGCTAAGTTTAAATATGTTCCTAACATGTAGTTGACATCCAACGTCCAACTCAACTTACGACACATAGGCGGCTAAACGAAGGTACAAGCATGATCTGATCATGGGACAAAGAGGTTATGACAAGGTAACCGCCAAAACTGCTTTTCATGTGCATTGCATGTGCCATCTTCACTTGGCCAGCTGAATTTCGCCCAAGGCTTGCTTTGTGCCAAGCCTTAGCTCAATTTGACATTGCTCCGCGCCAATGTCTTTCCCGTAACCCGCTGCCATGATTTTCCCGCACACGCCCGGCGCCGCTGTCGCCTGCGCACTGCCTTGGCTTAGTTTTCTGCCTTGTCCATGTCAACCTTCATTTCCCTCGTGCCATTGCTTGTATTTTCCTTCACATAGCCTTGCCTTAGCTATTGAAAGCCTTTGCCATCATCCTGCCTTCCCGCTTTGCCTTAGCTTAGCCCGCACATAGCTGCCACAACCCAAAAGTGCCATGTCTCCGACTTTGGCGCGCATGCCGTGCCATGCCGCCCTAACATTGCCCATGCTACCTCATCAAGCCCTTTAGTCCCCTAGTCGTCGCCCTTTGCCCTGTCCCAAAGCCTTGGCCAATACTTGCCCACAACAGCCCTCAATGCCAATGTCATGTCCGTCGCCCGCATGATCGTTTTACCCGCACCTAGGCCATTGACAAGGCCATCACACCCAAATCCTTGCCACGCCCGATGACAAAGAGTTAGGGTCTAACAAACCACCCGCACCCTTGTTACAATTCGTCCCTTTACCGATTCATTTATTTGAAACCATAAGAGACCTAATCAGAATTATTGTGACTTTTTTTTTTCCGGAAGAAAAGCGTCCTGGACGATTCTGGATATACATGCACCAAAGGGCTTGTATTGTCACATCAAATCATAAAGCATATTTTTCTTGACCATTGAATAGAAGAGTGCATAGGATAATTTCCTTCCGAGATGATTTGATCGTCCCTCTAGGGCAGCAAGCTGGTCCATACAAATATTTGGGGATAACCAGAACCAGAGAAACTTTAGTGGCTAGCCAAAATGATATATTGCCAAAAACAGAACTCCTAATCAAAATTGGTGGAAAGAGAATGGACTGGAATCTGGATAGTACCACCAGAGAGGCAAATAGCAGAAATGCTTGCTCTCTGTGTGTGTGTGAAGGCACTCCACTTCCAAATTTAAAAACTAAGTAGAACCACAAAAGGGGTCAGTAATTGAAGGAAGAAGGTGCTTGTAGGAGTTCTCATATATCGTCGGCATTCATTCTTATCAAATTCACACACACACACACACACACACAGAGAGAGAGAGAGAGAGAGTCAAACTCGTTTAGGAACCGAGTCAAACTCAAGGCAACATCCTTAAATTTTAGATCAATTTCCTAAAGGGCACCAAGTACTCTTGAATGATAACTCAAGTAGTAGGGTCGATATCCTAATAATAGAAATGCTGAAGAAATGATAGTGGATGTTACCTAAACTCAAATCCACCAAACGCTTGGTTTTAAGCTACAAGCCTAAGGAAGAGACCAAAGAACTCGCACTAGCAGCATCAGTAATGACAACCAATCTAATGGAGCAACGCATTGAAATGAGAAATACCAAAAAAGTTTGATGACACAGCATCAAATTTCCAGTACCTGACATTCATCAAGATCTACTTATCCATATTATCATTGTCTCAGAAACAACCAAAATTAAAAAATTTCCAGGATAAAGAGCTATTTCCATCAAGAACTTCACAGTAATAACTAACAAAGCAGGAGCAGTCTTATCCCCTCAACTAACCAAATTTACCTAACCTCAGTACTAGAATCCTTATAATTCCTAAAAACAAGAATTGACCTTTACATTACATTGGCAGTTAAGACAACTTTCTAACCTCAACCCTCCATTGATCCACAATTATTTATAATCAACTTTGGGCCGAACTCAACCTCAAACGCTAGCCCATGAGATGAGGATTCCCCGAGACCATAAGGAAACCCATTTTTAAATTCCCAACATATTATATTACTTTAAGTGTCTTGACAAAAGTATATTTGTACAGGCATCCTCATGTAAAAGACACTATTTTCAACCTGTGAGGATCTAGAAGCAATTAAAATACTATAGGAAAGTATTTTTCGAGGAAATTGATGTAAACCGAAAAGAACCACATCCACCTACCTGAGAGGCCGAGAAAAGAACTAAATCAAAATGGTTGTTGTTAACAGCATTCTTTTTGACATCCCTAGTCATACAAGGAAACCAATATGTTCCTGGCCATATTGCATCATACAAAGATGCATACCAGAATTAAAGCTTAAAACTTCTGTACATGAGCTGATCCGAGAGGAAGTTTACCAAAGCTAATTCATATATCCTCATACACCAACATAAATGACTAGCGACAAAGTAGAAGCCCTTGAGTAACACTATGATATGGTTAACCCATGAATCAGCAAAATCAACAACATGAAACCATATATATATCACATCCAAGAAATAGCAAAAACATTCAAATGCTAAATAAGCTGTTGTGACAACAAAAGACAGTGAGGCTGGACAAAATACGGTTTATACCCAATTGCAAATCACACATAACAAGCTCCAACTTTGATAAATAAATATGCTACTTGTCAATGCAGAGAGCTAAACTACACAAATTTAGTAATTAACAGAACTACAAACAGAAACCAAACTAGAAAAGCAAGTTCACCCTAAATTAGTTTACTTTTGCAAGATGGTAATACCAGAAGCTCCCATGGCTTCGCGCACCAGCTTCCCCTGCTCAGTGATCAGATCCACCCTCCTGAAGCACAAGTCAAACTCAGCTAACTTCAAAGACGTCAACTTTTCCTTCATCTCATTCCTCTTCTCAATACTAATCAACCCAGAATTCTCTTCAAGCCACTTCTCCAGTTCAGCAACACTTCTCTCACACAAAACCGAACTCAAATTCTGTGCAGCAACCTCTACATTTTTCTCCCTCTTCACCACCTCAGCACCCTGTTCCTCATTTTGCTTCATTGCATCCTCCAAAACCACATTATCTTGACCCTCACTCTTACTTTGCTCCTTTTTTGAAGTTGTTCCATTCTCCACTACTCTATCAACTTCTTCAACTTTCTCACCCTTATTATCAGTTTTCTCTTTACCCCAAATCTTTTTGGACAATTCATAAGTTTTTTGCTCATGGGGTTTTGAAAACGTTCTCTCCTTTTTTCCTTTTTTCTCTTTCCCAGCATTGTTCTCATACTTCTTTTTCAACCTCCTAATCTTATCTTGCAACTGTGTCTTACTCACATCTACATGCAAAGATTTTTTAATAAATTCATGAAATGCGCTCAAATCAGCAACCGGGTCGGATTTTTTCTTGGACCTGTAATCAATCATGCCCTTTAAAATAACAATTTCGTCATCTTCACTCCATAATCTCTGAAAAAGCTGCCTTTTCACATCCTCAGAGGGTGTTTTTTGGTTCACTGGAGTTTCAATCTCTTTTTTGGGTGTCTTCTTAGACCTCTTAGATTCCTTTGTTTCAGCATCGTCCACTGCCACCGGCCGTTTAGCTCCGGCACCGGCGGATGACTTCGCCGGAGGAGGAGAAGTGGGTTTGGCAGTAGCATTTGGTTTGGATCTAGGCTTGGGAGCAGATTTTTTTGGGTCGTCCATGGGTTTGGATGCTAAGGGTTTTACTGTAACTGGGTTTGGTTTCTGGGTTAGAGGTTCGGGTTCTGACTCAGACTCAGACTCGGACCCGGATTCCTCTGCAGAAGAAGAGGAATCTTCAGGTGGTTGAGGCTTTTTTGGAGCGGCAAGTGGTGGTTTTTTCGAGGGTGGTGATTGTTTGTCGGGTTCGGGTTCGGGCTCTGACTCTGATTCAGATTCAGATTCAGAGTCTACGTTTCCGGGGGAAGAAACTTCCATTTCGTCGCCGGATTCTTCTTCCTCCTCGGTATGCTTCTTAGCCATTTTGAAAAGGGAAAGGGTTTAGGGGTTAGGGCAAAGCCGCAGAGAGAGGAGTGGGGATTATTGCTCTGTTCTTTTAACTTTTAAGGCGACGTTACTTCATATACTATCGATAAGTGAGAATGCCAGTAGGAATTAACCACTTTTACTTTTTCAAGGTTAGTCAAATTAAAATCCAAGAGCACAACTCCCCCCATCCAAACTTTTCATCCAATTGTTTACTTTTATGAAGTCGAAATTTAAGAGATCAATTTTTAGTTTCTTCGTTTTAGAAAGAAATACTTCCTCCGATCACTTTTATTTGTCATGTATATTCCTTCCGGTCCACAATAAGTGATTTTTTTACCTTTTTTTTGTGGTTCAAAATAAGTAATTTTTTCAGATTTCAAGAATGAATTAATTATTTTTTTCCTACATTGCCCTTGGAGTAAATAGTATTGTGTTAGGAGTATTTATGTGAAGAGATAGCAAAGGTTAATATGGTCAATTTCATTGCTAATTAATGCTAAAAGGTGGATTTCTTAATCTGTGTGAAAACAGCTAAAAAATCACTTATTTTGGACCGGAGGGAGTACTAAAAATAAATGTTTACTTTTACTTGAAACTTTACGCATATCAGGAGAAGATAATAAATTTTTTTCTGTTTTACGCACAGTATTTATACTCATTTCAAATCATAATCCAACAAAATATAAATTAATATGGGTATCATGGTAAATTATGCACTTCATTTATTATTTCTTAAGGGGCGTGAAATGTCAAAACGTGCCAAGCAAAAGTGACCGGAGGGAGTAAGATTTTTTTAGACGTCTTCAACTTGTTTGATATTGAGACGTTATAAATAAGGGTGAATATAATCTTGTAAATGGTAGAAATAAACAATGAGCAAGTACAAATAAATATTTTGCTTGTATTTAATATTTATACATAATCAAGTAATTTGATTTTAGTAATTAAAAACTAAAGTAAAAATATTAAATTTAATTATGTTTAAGCGACAAATGTGTGTAAAGAAGGACGTATGTGTTATGTTTTACCAAGAGAATGAGTCTCTACATCTAAGTAGCACAAATTAGATTGAATATCAACCAGATCAAACTAGGCATAAAACTTAGGAAGAAACTATATGTTATGGCCGCTTATAATTTGGATCCAAGAAAATGACCTTTTCAAATCTTTGATTTCTGTTTTTAGTAGTTTTCAAAATTATTATAGTTATATATAGGTGTTTCATAACTTCTATTTTTCTCGATTTACGATACTGATTTATTTAAAAATTAACTTATATTTTTTTATCTTGATCTATTTGCCTATCCTTGCCATCATAGTCATTTCGATTTATAGACACGTAATCTCAATAAATTACAGCATTCATCTGGGCTAGGCACCTTATCTCACGCAGTGTCACGTGACACTACTTTATCAAAAAAAAATCATAAATATGTATGTATAAATAATTTTAAAAAAATAAAATATTAGGTGTAAATATTAAAAAAATGACACCGCTGGTCATTATACTCCATTCGGTCCACGATAAGTAACCATTTTGCCTTTTTATTTTGGGCCAAAATAAGTGTCCATTTATATAATCAAAAAGAAATTAATTTTAATTTTTCAAAATTTGCCCTTAATTTACATATTCCAATGTATCAAGGTAACAATTAATTAAGGTTAATTTAGTGAATACATCTTTTTTTCTCTAGGAGTTCGTATTTCCTTAATGGGTGTGCCAAATGTAAAATGGTCACTTATTGTGGACGGGATGGAGTAGTGATTTATTTATTTGTTCACTTCTTCAATGTTAATACCGTGAAAATTGCGGTGCGCCCTATTTGGTCGGCCCCATTTAATCTATACCTATATTTTTAAAATTATTTAACATATATCCTAAGTTTTACAACTTCAGGCCCCTCCTTCTTTCTGCTACCTGTGCGCTCCTTTCTTCCTCCTTTCTTTTCATTGGAAAACTGTAGCGTGGAATTATGTATAATGAACATATACATAAAGGAAAAAAGGAAATCTTGCTTTTCTTTCTGTACGATGAGGGCAAAACAGATATGTGAAGGAAGAGATCTTCATCGTCTACTTTATACGAATGATATAGCATTGGACTCCTGATTTTGATGTGTGATTGCAATTTTCAGCACAATGTGCCTAAAGCCAATGGATCCCATCCCATGACTCGAATATTGCTGGCCTAAGTCTACATAGTAATGTAAACTGCAGTGTTACTTGATGAATATAAATGGTGAAATTTATGAAATTTTTCCAAGCTACTGCTACAAACTTAATAAGATCACATCAGGTTTAGGGGAAGCTTCTTTGAGGCAGTAGACCTATAACGAGTTTGTGACTTTAAATATAGTCCATAAATCAGCTGAAATTCAGCAAATATAGAACAAAACTTCAGCTAAAGCATGCTGAAGTTCAACAAATAGAGAACAAAACTTCAGCTAGTAGAATGCTTAAGTTCAGCAATTACAAACAAAAACTTCAGCCAACACTAAGTTTACGCGAAAAACTTCAGCTAAAACATGCTAAAGTTCAGCAAATAGAGAATAAAACTTCAGCTAGTACGACTGTAGGTCAAAAACTTCAGCTTATTTTAGTGCTGAAGTTTTTATAAATTAACTAAATAACTTCAGCATCTCTACTCAAGTTTTTAAAAAAGCTTTATGACAAAACTAATGAATCCAGGACAAAACTTCAGCTTATTTAGTGCTGAAGTTTTTACAAATGAACTAAATAACTTCAACATCTTCTGCTGAAGTTTTTGAAAAAACTTTACGACAAAACTATTGAATCCAGGACAAAACTTCATCTAAAACATGCTGAAGTTCAGCAAATAGAGAACAAAACTTCAGCTAGTAGAATGCTTAAGTTCAGGAATTACAAACAATGTCAGGCCCGTCTACTAGAATGCTGAAGTTTGCGTGATTGTCTTTGCTACTTCAGGCCCATATGTCTGAAGTTACGCGAAAAATGGGTACGCTTGTAATTTTTTTGCAAAGCAGGTATAGTTAAAACGTGACCCAAAAGCGGGTATAGATGCAAATCCCCCGTTAATAACACTTACAAAATTTATGCATACACCACTGGCACCATATTATTTGTTGAACAAATATTAGCTTATATTAAAGTACGGCTTACAGACTTTCAGGTCTAATACTTGGTGTTTACAGCCATTATCAGGTAAGTAGAAATGTTTCCGTTATATTGAAAAAGTAAGCGTTCTAATTAATTAAGATATTAACAAACAAATATTAGAAAGATTCAACAGTTTGGTGTTCCAAATAATATTCAAATAAGCTTGGAATGAACCACTAAGGGCATTTCAAATTTTCAATTCTATTGTTATTTTATTTTTAATCAATCACCTTAATCTAGAATGAATTGAGCACACTACTTTCTGTCTTCTCAATTCTTGTCCTCTTTATAATTTATGGATCCATTAACTATTGACTTACACTGCATGAATGACTCTTGAATTTGAATCTCCTCATTTGGTTGATTTGTTTCCAAGTTCAGTTTTCTTTTTTATTCAAATCAAATATTTTGTGACTTCCACTATTTGATAAATTTCCAAACAATATTTAATTGAAAAATGCATTCATTTATTAATGTCGATTTGAGATGGTATAGTGCAACTTATCATTTTTCTTAAACACTACCGTGTTTGTAACATCTAAAGAGTAAGATTTGCCTAATATAACAGTAACAAATAAAGTCAAAAATATTAGGAACACATTCAAAAAGTACTGTAATATAAATAATGGGCTTATTTAGAAAATTCTACTTTTCGATTTATGTTTCAATAAAATAAAAGCGTCTTGAAAAGATAATAATCAGTGAAGGTAACCAATCTATTTTGCAATGCTTGGTGTCATTATTCACTTAAACATTAATCTTGGTAAAAATGAAAATTTGGATCGTAATAGGTAAATTTGACTCTTATAAGATGGCAGCAAGGAAATATATTTCCAAAATAATTTATTAAAAGTAACAACTCAGGTATAATTTTTTTGCTCTCTTTTAAATGATTTTCGAGTATTTCATAACAAATGGACAAAAGAAAAGCTAAAAGAGAGAAACGTTGTAGATCCAATCTATTCTTGCGTTCTATGTCCTCCATGGCTTCATGTATTGAAATTGTTGGTCGTCTAATTGGGGATCAAAGCTGATAAGCGGGGTCAAAAAACCCGCCTGCGCTACCTGTGTTATTTAATTTTGCAAACTTCTCCAGAAAAAATTAAATATGTTTTGTTTTAGAAGTTTAAAATTGTTCGCCATAAAAGTTTTTGGCTATTTAATAGAGTCACCAAGGATTAAATTTGATATGAAGTTGGCAAAAGAAGGTTCACGTTTAAACATGATGTTTGTTTGAGCAGATTTGTGTCCTAAAGTTGGCTCTTTTTTAAATGGATTTTGTTAGTGTCAAAACAGCAAAACCTAGAGCATCAACACGCCGCCAATATTGATGTATACCCAACCAAAATTTTCTTCAGTTGTTGTTGTAAAAGCAACAATAATAACATGCTCAAGATGAGAATTGAAAAGAGAAATACCAATTAAATTCGCCTATATAATAGAGAGTATCAAATTTCCAGTATGCCACAGTCATTCATATCTAGTAAAACTACCTATTATGAAGAAGAAGAAAAGCACAAAACGTTAAAAAAACACTTCAACAATCTAAGCACCACAAAAGCAGAACAGATCATTCTAAGCTCTTTCTCCCCTAATCCTTCTGGCCAACTGGATATCCTTGGGCATGATAGTCACACGCTTGGCGTGAATGGCGCACAGATTTGTGTCCTCAAACAATCCAACAAGGTATGCCTCAGCTGCTTCTTGCAAAGCCAACACAGCGTGGCTCTGGAAACGCAAGTCGGTCTTGAAGTCCTGTGCAATTTCACGAACAAGCCTTTGGAATGGCAATTTCCTGATCAACAGCTCAGTACTCTTCTGGTACTTGCGAATTTCACGAAGAGCAACAGTACCAGGTCTGTATCTGTGAGGCTTCTTAACTCCTCCTGTTGTTGGGGCAGATTTACGGGCAGCTTTGGTGGCAAGCTGCTTCCTTGGAGCCTTACCTCCAGTAGATTTACGGGCAGTTTGCTTCGTACGAGCCATCTGATTTCCTATAAACAGTAATCAAAATCAATTTAAGTTTTTCGTGGATCAAAGTATGGGAAATTGAACCTTAACAATATCATCTATATACATCAATCCAAACTCTAGGGTTCCTAGGGTGTATGTTTAAATCGAGATACACAATAATCACACACAAACGACGGTCAAAATTTCATATAATTTTCAGATTCTAGAAGAAAAAAGGAGGAAATTCAATGAAGCTGAGCTAACCCTAAAATTTTCCAAACCAAAACCCTAAGGAAACAAACAATTCAATCTTCAAAACATCCGATTTTTCACAATCGAAACGAAGAAACAACAATTGAAATCCATAAAACCAGAACAGAATTGAAGAACAAAGAAAAGAAGAAGAAATCTAACCTTAAGATTGCTCGAGTTTGAAGGCGGATGAGGAAAGCTTGAAATTAGAGAGGAACGGCAAAAGTAGAAGAGGAATTTTTATATTTTGATAAGATGAATGATGCGGAAGACTTGTGTGATGCTATTTATAGAACGTGTAAAAGCCGGAGTTGGTTAGGACTTCTTTTACTGTGTTTTTTTATGAAAGTAGAGTATCGACGGTGGATAGTTGCTTTTGTTGTGTTTTCTGGGGATTAAATGAGCGGTCACGATCTGGAGTTTTTCTCTGACACGATCCATGACGATCTGTACTCGCTTCTTGATTGGTTAATATTATGTCTCGTGGATTGAAGCTTCGTTAATTCGGTAATTTTCCTCATAACACTGCATTACAAACACACATCCGGACCGGACCCCAAAAAAATCCGACCCGAACATACTCAAAAAAAAGTGGCTCTCTATCTGCAAGTTTCATTTATTTCTTTATTAAAATAAAATTAAGTTAGCGTTTGGACATAGATTTAGTTGAAACTTGAAAAAATAATTTTTGAAGTAGTTTTGAAAAATAATTTTTGGAAGTTGAAATTATATTTGGACATGCATTTTATTTGAAAAAAATTTGAAGTTTTGTGAGTGGGAGAACAAGTTTCACCCAAAATTTACCCTAAACTAGATTTTGGGAACTTGAAAAATAAATTTAAAAAATTTTCAAAAATAGATCATTAATCTATGGACAAACAATGTTTTCAAAAAAAAATTTGAAAAAACGGTGCCAAAATGTATGGCCAAACGGGCCTAAGATATTTGAATTTGATATATTTAATTATCAAGATATTAAATTTAAATTTAAACGAATAATTAATATATTTGTTTTTTGTACGTTGAAATATGTGTAATGTATCTTCATTAAATAGAAACAAATTTAAGATTTAAATAAAATGATAATTGAATATTATGTTCACAATAATATTAATTAAAATCTTTATTTATATGATCTTGTATATACTATTTGTAAAGAGTTTAAGTTCTTTGAACTGAAATTTCGCAAAATATATTTCATAGCTAGGTTTGAGGTGCGTTAGGGCACCTATTTGCAAATAACACTGGTTTAACCAATTTGTGTCACCAAAGATCGGGTAAGGGCTCAAATTACCTCGAAGAGAGGTGTTAGGCACTCCTCGAGGTCCACAATTGTGGGTCCCGGCCGAACTCGAATTATATGAATTAGTCAGAAAAATAAAGACAAAGAAAGCAACGTAAAGTTTAGGGTAAAATCATTATTAGGAAAAACTTATAATAAACACAAAGACAAGATGGGGGGGGGGGGTCCTAAGTTTTTTTAGCCTAAAGGATCACTGATCGGTTCCAAGCCTGTATCACTATCGAGTGGCAAGGATGGTCGATGCAGTTTTACCCAACAAAGGTCGGGATCGATTTCCACTGGGAGTTAATTGATTTGGAGTTAGGTATCTAGCCAATCTAGATGTGCGTGTTGTTCCAAATTGCACCTCCAGACATGGTCATGATTGATTATACTTCTAATGTTATACTATAATAGAATAGAATAAGCTAAGTACACTATTTTTTGTTGGTTGTTTTCAAGGATTAAAAGGGACTAGAGCAGTGACTTCCGCCTAGGTGGATATCTAACAGGTATCGAGAATTCAGGGCAAACTTGTTATGATTCGTCGTGATATAACCATCACACGTAAGTGCTCACTCTACACCTCTCGGTAGTTTGAGTGACTTTACCCGATTTGACTTTCTCAAGTCCAAATGGGTGTTCATGCATAACAAATGATATTGGCTCAAGTCGGGTATTACTATCTCTAGGTTTAACCTTTAATTGGAGCTATCAATCTCTTGAATGCACCCCAATTCATCCGAAAACGAATCATTAATTTCGAGGCCATCATGGGGCCTCCCCTCCTCTTCCAAGCGGAACAAGTGGTCCGCCACTTGCTTTTCACACCCTTTTTGATCAATAATTCAAGGTCAAACTCTTGAAGCAATAGAACACATCTCATCAACCTAGCTTTAGAGTCCTTTTTCGTCATCAAGTAATGGAGTGTTGTGTGATCAGTGTGCACAATCACTTTAGTACCCATGAGATATGGCCTGAACTTTTCGATGGCAAAGATAATGGCGAGTAACTCTTTCTCAGTCACATTATAATTGACTTGAGCATCATTCATCGTTTTGCTTGCATAATAGATCGGATGAAATATCTTGTTGATCATTTGTCCCAAAACCGCTCCTACCACAACGTCACTAGCATTGCACATAAACTCAAATGGTAAGCTCCAATTGGGTGTGGTGATGATGAGAGTGGTAGTCAATCTATACTTGAGAAGCTCAAAAGCTTTCATGCAATCATCATTAAACACAAACTTTGCATCTTTTTCCAACAACTTGCACAAGGGAGTCACCACTTTTGAGAAGTCTTTGATGAACCTCCGGTAAAACCCCGCATGCCCAAGAAAGCTCCTAACTCCATTGACAGAAGTAGGAGGAGGGAGTTTTGAAATCACTTCAATCTTTTCTTTGTCCACTTTAATACCGTTCTTTGAGATCTTATGGCTGAGGACAATGCCCTCCTCAACCATAAAGTGGCACTTCTCCGTATTAAGCACTAAGTTGGTCTCTTCACATCGGGCCAACACTTTGTCAAGATTACCCAAACATTCTTCAAATGAATCACCCACAATACTAAAATCATCCATGAACACTTCAAGGAAGTCCTCCACCAAATCCGTAAATATATCCATCATACACCGCTGAAAGGTGGCCGGTGCATTACACGACCCAAATGGCATCTGTGAGAATGCAAAGGTTCCATACGGACATGTGAAGGTAGTTTTCTCTTGGTCCCCGGTGCAATCAAAATCTGGTTGTAACCTGAGTACCCATCCAAAAAGCAATAGTAGACACGCCGGCAAGTCTATCCAACATTTGCTCAAGAAAGGGCAATGGAAAATGATCTTTGCGGGTCACTTTGTTCAACTTTCGGTAATCCATGCATACCCTCCATCCGGTGACAGTCCTAGTGGGGATCAACTTATTTTGCTCATTTGTGACCACAGTCATACCCCCTTTCTTCTGCACACATTGTACCGGCGAAGTTCATGAACTATTCGAAATGGGGTACACAACCCCTGCATCTAGCCACTTGATAATTTCCTTCTTGACGACCTCTTGCATGGCCTCATTCAACCTCCTTTGATGTTCCACGGAGGGTTTGGCATCATTCTCAAGTATAATTTTGTGCATGCAAAAGGCGGGACTTATCCTCCGAATATCAGCTAGAATCCATTCAATTGCCTTCTTCCTTCTTTGGAGCACCGCAAGGGTGGCATCTACCTGCACGTTAGTTAAGCACGAAGAAAGAATAACAGGTAAAGTTGAACAAGGGCCCAAGAATTCATACCTGAGGTGTGAAGGCAAAGGCTTCAACTCCAATACGGGAGGCTCCTCGATTGAGGGCTTTGTTGGTGGAGTCTTTCGGTTCTCAAGATCCAAGGAAAGTTTTCCGGGGCTCATATGTGTAAGAACACATTCCTTGCAAAGCATTGACATATTCCACCAAGACTTTATCCTCCGCCACATCATGGTTCAACAACACAGCTTCCAAAGGGTCCTCCACATTTATCACAGCACCGGTGTCTTCAAAAATCACCTCGGTCACAAGATCTGTCGCGCCCCCTTTTTTCCCTTCGCAGGGAAGTCCGGGTTTCGACATTCATGGGGGAACAACTCATTTCCTTTTGGGAATTGGGTATTTGAAGAGTCGCCACCTAACGGATTATGGTGCGTTAGGGCACCTAGAGTAATTTACTCATGTAACTAGTTTGCATTACCAGAGATTAGGGTAAGGGCTCAAAATAACCTTGAGGGGAAGGTTTTAGGCACCCCTCGCGGTTCATAATGGTGGGTCCCGGATGAACTTAAACTATGTGAATTAGTCAATTAACAAGTAAGCAAGTATTTGCAAATAAAGTAACTTTCCCCATCTAAATGCATATATGATCAAGAAAGTTCAGATAATGAAGGTAAAAGAGGTTTGGACAGCTTATACATGTATATGTAAAAGGAAAAAAAGAATTTTAGATAATTCAAATACATAAAGGAATTGAGAAAGGGAAGTCCTAAGTTGGTTGCCCTACAGGATCATACCCATGCAATGCCCGGTAATCACTCCTCAATGAGAGGGGCTACACGTGACATTAGCGCACAGGTCATCATATCCTTTTACTACCCATTACCCTCCCCTTAGTGGTTATAAGGGAGTTTAATTAACGACCTCTAAGCGTGCTGCTACCCGTCCCTTCCTTATGGTCCCGGAGGAATTTAGGACCTCTAAATCTGGACAATTCTAGACAACCTAAGGTTTTTGAAAGGTGAAAATCTAGGTGACAAGCAAATAACATGTAGGACAAGCAAATAGGGACAAATAGTTAGAAGGCTCATATTTACCTGCGCATGTATATAGGCAAACAAACAGCACGTCTAAAACACAGATTGTGAAGAAGTTCAGAAATCCTAAGAATATGGCATCTAGATGAATGTTACAGATTCAGGATATGCATAAACAAAGTGGCGGAATCCTAACCAATTTGCCTACTAGTTTTATAGCCTGTTAAGCTTAAGAAGTTTAAAATAATCAAACGCACTTTCCAGTTTATATATAGACTGATTACCTAAGGCTTGCATAGATGTGGGGCTGTATGCAATTACAATTACAGGAACTGTGTGAATAGTTGAAATCGTTTAACCTATGAGCATGCTGATCTAGGCGATACAGGTTATAACAGGTATTTTATATCAACTTGTATTTAGAGACATGATGCCTATGTGAGGAGGCTGTTTAGACCTTTTCATAGCCAGTTACTTATTTCAATCGAAATAGACATGTCAAACGAAATGCAAATAGGGTTCCTAAAAGACATGGTATCTAATGCATACAGAAATGCCAGCTTTATTAAGACAGGGTTGTTAGCCTAGGAGCAGGATCTCTAAGTGACAAGACTCGTGCAAATTAAAGCATGGAATAATGGTATATAGTATGCTGAAGCCATAAACGTGAAGGTCCTAAAATCAGGTTGTCTAATGCACAAGATCATCATGGTTTAAAT